CCGTAGTAGGAAATGGATGGGAGGAATTTTGGTCATTCATGAAACTGAATACTACCCCTCCCGATAGTTGAAAAGAAATTCGTTTACGGAAACAATCCATTACCGCCCAGAATGTGGATAACAAATTCATCCCAAAGATCACGTCACACCCCTTCATGTCTAAGGCAACCAAATCTACAATCAATTCGTGCTCCCCAATTCGAAGCACGCAACCCCTACACACCTGACTAGTATCCAACCGTTCTCCCGTAGGCATATTAATACACAACGCATGTTCTAGCTTCTCGAAGCCCAATCCCAATTTAATAGCATATGCAGTACATATAAATGAATGAGTTACACCCGGATCAAATAAAATTCGGGCCCAAGAATTGTAGAGGAGAACAATACCTTCCACCACTGCATTGGAGGCATCTTCCTCCGGTTGGGTCAAAGCAAATACCCTTCCTTAGTTGGCGCCACTTGGGGCTAGAGCTTCAAACGGTCTCTGCTGTTGTAGTGGCCTTTGTAGAGGTGGCTTGTTTGCATTCACTCGCCCCGTTGCTTGGTTGGTTTTGGTTGAAAGCAATGGGTAGTTATCTTTGAAGTGCCCAACACCTCCATATGCAAAGCATCGACGTGGGTCGGTGCCTACTCTCTCTAGTACTCCTCCCGTCCCTCGAGCTGTCTTTGGTCTTTGTCCAACTACCTGATCTGGGCGACAGTAGGGTGCTACTCTCTGTGCTCCACTGTTACTAGCACCCATCCTGATCGGACCTTCCCTCATAAGGTTCTGTCGTCGCTGATTATCTTCCATATCTCTCTCCACCAACATAGCCCTATCCACAAGATCCTCATAGTCATGGATCCTAAAGCCACAAGCTTCTCCCTAATGATCGGCCTCAAGCCTTGTTCAAAACGTTTGGCCCTCCTGGCCTCTATGGATATGAATTATGTGGCATATCTGAACAACTCCTCAAACTTTCTCTCATACTCCCCCACAGTCAAACTAACCTGTCGAAGAGCGAGAAAATTGGCACTCATCTTGTCTCTAACCGACTCAGGAAAATATTTGTCTTGAAGACTTGATCGAACTCCTCCCAAGTAAGTTTATATGTGTTCCTCCGTCTCTTTACCGAATCCCGCCAATGGTCGGTCTCCCCCTCGAACAAATAGGTAGCTAAGCCAACCCTCAAGTCTTCCGTAACTCCCATGCCGTCACAAATCTTCTTCACCCGACGGATTCATCTATCTGCATCCAAAGGATTAGAGCTCCCTTGGAAGGTAGGTGGGTGTTGCCTCAGAAATTCTCGAAGAGTTACCAACCTCCGATTGTCATCCCCATTGCCCGGCACTTGTGCTAGGGGGTGAGCTCCACCATTATGGTTGTTGTTTCCATTCTGATTTTGTACCAAAGTGGTGAGCTCCCTCAAACATTGATAAATGCCGCTTATGGCATCGGGAGGTGGTGATGGTGGTGGATTTGCTTGTCCTCCCCGACCACGCCCACGTCCAACGTCCATCCTGCACATCAATTCACAATTTAGTTTCATTGATGTACAAGATATCCTAGTTATCACTTTGATCTAAAGCATAAGGTTCGTATAAAATTAGATCAACAATTTTCTTCAACCTACTCCTACTTTTCTAGTGGTAATCCATAACCTACAGCTCCCATGTAAGACCTAATTCCTAAGCTCTGATACCAAATCTGTAACACCCCAAAAATTGGGGGTCCTTAATTTAACAAAATTTAGGCAGAGTCTCTTTTATATGGGGAGCTCTATCCAAAACACAACTTGTGCAATTATACTAAATTAACTACACCAGATCCATATATGAATAAATATTGACCACATCAGGTCCATTTACCCATCAAATAATAAAATTTTATTCACCACATATAATTTCCACCATATCATCTCAAAAGAATAGGCCAAGATATGACACTTACATTCCAAAAGAATTACACTCAAACTTAGTAGCGGAATAAACAAAATACTAGACTATACATGATTGTAAATAAATTCTTTAGTCTAGCACAAAAATACACTATAGCTCTAGATGTCCACCTCGAGATCTAGGTTCCCCTCTGGTGGAACGTCCCAATTTCCCGGCTCGTCAATGACGAGATCTTCCTCTAGCACGAAATCTAAAAAAAAATATTATTGGTAGGGGGTAAGCACTACGCATTGTAGGAAAATTCTCTCAAACTCTAACAAGGTTTAGAAAACGTAGAAAATGATCGGTCTCATTTCATAAATAGCATACGTAAATTTTGAAAGAAAATATGACATTTTTAAAGATCTCAAGTTTATACATTAACAATAATTAAGTGCAAGAGTAAAGTCAATCCCACCATAAATAATCATTCCAAAGAGTAATTATTCCCACAATAATTTTTACGATAATCATATCCAAAAGATAACGCAATAAACAATAATCACAATGTATTTCAAGTTTGATGTAAGATAATCGCATGAATAAATACATAGAGAATATCCTGGCCCACACACACACAATTCCTCTCAAGGATATCAACTTCAGGAAGGGTGTCTACCGATGCATTGTTCCATACCAATGCACCGGCAATAACGAATCCGACCCAAGGATAGTATACTAATCCTCTGACACAACACCCGTGAGCTAATAGTGGTTTGGTCCTCGCAAGACACCAACCCCACTACGAGTGGTAGGAAAAATTCAAACTCACACGGAGTAAGAACCACACATATCTACCCACTCTACGATATCCGGTCAATGGCCACCCATGGTCATGCAAACACCTCCATGAGATACAATCACCAACAATTTCTCAAACACACTCAATTCCATAAATCCCCAATTTTTCACATCCAAATTCACATTTATTTCACAATGGAACAATTTAAAAAATATTAACAAGAGATCATCATAAATACCATTGTGTTGTACAATACGAAACACTAAAGTTTTGAAATCAAGAATAAATGAGAAATCAAGAGAAAAATTCATTTCTCTTGAAATCTACAATTTTTAATATGAGAAAAAAACTTTGATGGTTACCCAACCATCCCATTGTTTAAAACATGCTAACATTTGCAAAAACATCAAGAATCTATGATTTTATAGAATATTAATATGATGTAGCGTTAAAGAAAATATATATGTATAACCTTAGCCTCAATATAAGAGAATAGAAAAAAACTCCTACTTGAATCAAAATTTCAAGCAAGAACCCAAGCTCTAATATCCTCTTTCTTCCCTTTTCTTCCTTCCTTAATCTTCCTCTGAGGTTTCAAGAGGTGTGAGGTGAGAGTGGAGTGAAGAGAATGCGAGTAAATGGGATGAAAATGGGTTTTTAAACACAGCAGCTCCGATTTTTACTATTCACAGGTTGTTTTTGGTTTCTCCAAAATTACAGTTTTGCCACTAAGAATTTTCAATTTGATCCATATGACTACCCTAAGGTTTTTCGACGTTCCGGATTCATTTTTAATGTTATTTTAACCTAAAAATATTTATTTTTATGATTTATTTTAAAACTAAAATAAATTTACATTTGAAATATTAAAATTACTATTTTATTCCTCCATAGTATTTATTCTTATGCTTTCAATATATATAGTTTATTTTTACGTCATTATATATATAAGAATCACTAAATAAGTACATTACTATATTAATATAAACATGTGAGAGTTTATACCTTCTGAGTCTAAGAAGAAAGCACAATATTTTACCATCCAAGGAACACCACAGTGCAGATTTTTTGATCAACTTTAGAGAATAAACTGATTTGACTCAGGTATTTCTAGTATGTGCCACCTATATGGTTGGAAAGATATACGAGTTAGGGTTCTAACAAAAATAACGGTGCACAATTTGGACTTTCCAACAAAGAGTTATGATCAAATTGGTGAACGGTAGTCTGCCGGACTGCTTGGTTCTTCTATACTTGTCTAACTAGAATTTTGGTGTCTTTTGTCACAAATTCTATCTCATACTCATCTCCAATATAGATAGTATGACTTGCATAAAGATTCATCTCTAGCATCATTCTTTAACCAAAACTAAATTATCATCCGTCTTCTAAAATCATTTATAACAACATGATGTAAAACTAGTATATCCTTCAATATTTTTCTTCAATTCCTCTAAGTGAGCTGATTGATGAGAATGTAAAATGTCATATTTTTTTTCTCTTTTAAAATTTAGCCTTTTATACTTATTTGGAGCCTAAATATATATATTATTCTTATATTTTGATTTAGGATGTAAATGGAGACATTAAATACAAAATGAAGCTAATTGGACGATTGTTGATAGTTTAGACATGTGGGGTTTACACATATACATCTAATGACCATACTCTATTGAAGATTTCCAATAAATAACCTAGTCGCGGCGTGAATGACCTGTCTTTAATCGTACCGAAAAGAGAATTAGTCGAGGTGTGTACAAGATCTACTTCAAAAAAAAAGGTTTCCAATAAACCCACTAATCCATATACACCAAGGCTCATGAAATTTTCCAATTAACATCCAAAGATTATATCAAATCCAGTGCGAATTAGAACGGACCACAAGATCAAACACAGTATGACTACTGAGAATGGACTTGGAAAGGACTAACCAATTTCTCTTATTTATGCAATTTTTATAAGAACCCTCAATAACATGGCAAAATTCAAATGAAATTGTGGGGTCGTTTTTATTTATGAAAATGACACCACATACCTTTGGCCTCAATACAAACCAAATAAGTCAGTATCATAACATCGCATGCTCGAAACTATTAACAATACATTATAATTAACAAAACATTATAATTATAAGATGCTTTTTATAATATGGAATCTTCATCTCCTGAATAAAACAGTTTTTATTCTTAAAATTGGCTTAGTGTTCACTGTTAGCTCCACAACTTCTTATTGCACCAATCTCGGAGCATATCAAGCCAAAAACCAAGTATATATAGAAGTCTACAAGTGTAAGAGTTAAGATAAAGAGAGGAGTTAAGAGAGAGAGAGAGAGAGAGAAATGGCTGTTTGCAATTATGGATTTCAAGTGAATTGCTCTGTTCAGAGGCCTTTCACCTCACACATATTTGATCACTTCAAGAACTCACTATCTTCTTCCCTTTCAAGGTAAGTAAATTGCTCTGTTCCGAGGCCTTTCACCTCACACATATTTGATCACTTCAAAAACTCACTCTTTTCCCCTTTCAAGGCAAACTAATCTCTCTCTCTCCCCCCCCCCCCATATGACATAAAAGTTGAAACTTTGGTTATTTTTTTGGTGTTAGCAAGTAAATATTTAGTGGCTAATATATTCTCATATGGGCTTAGAAAAATTTATCTCTGATATTTAAAAGTGAGAACCTGACTTTCTCTACAATTTCCCTTGTTTATATTCAAGAATCTTAAAACTAAGTCCAGTGGTTAATTGTTATTGCTTGAATATATTCTAGCACCTTGTCAAAAGCTGAATTTAACACTATCAGAATACTAGTTGTCAAAACATGTCGAAGTGAAAATTTTCACAAGTTATATCAAGCATAACTCATAGAATCTGGTTTTCTTTAGCAGCCATTTCTGAGAGGGTTTCAGCAAGTCCCCGTGCAGATCTACCACGTTGCCAAAACCATCAAAAACAGTCCAGTGAGATTATTAGATGCCTTTGTCGATCGTGTGTTCGAATTTGTTGACCAGCCATTGCTCCCATCTCAGGTACTACAGGGGCACTAATCCTCTTCATTGCACTTGCATGCATGCTTGCAAAGATGCTGACATGCAACAGTTTTGATTAATTAACATTAATTGTATCTACAAAACATGTTTACTATCAGAGTAACTTTGCTCCAGTTGAAGAGATAGATGAAGCAGTTCTTGTTTCCAGTGTTGAAGGAAGTATTCCATATGATTTTCCAGAGGGTATCTACATAAGAAATGGTATGCAACTTGCTTTAATTTTATCACCCAACATTATATTTAATGTAATTGTCAGTGCTGTCTTTAGCCACTTGATTATTATTATATCTTATGCCTTTCCTTAGTTTATATGGCTCATTTCTATCTAGATGTGTGAGAATTTACTAAATAACCAAGACAACAATTGCAAGGTTTTTCTTTGTTTGGTCGATAACCAGAAAACATCGAAAAAAAAATGGTACTTAGAACACAAATAAGTTCACTAACAAGGATAAGTGAAAATTTGGATGACCACGAATAAACCTTGGCACTATCCATATTAGTTGCATATAAATCCAAATTGATTTGGTACAACTTTCTGCCCCTTGGTATTAGATGGAGGACCATATTAAACTGGTTTTGATCGATTATACTTATGTAAAAGGGGTTGGACTTTAATAATCCTAATCCAACGCTAAGTTCAAATCATGGAGGAATTCTCGGTTTTATGCCATTTACTCATTGTAGGAGCTCTGCATATAAATCCAAATTGTAAATCCCTTGTTAACAAAGTGATACAAAGATTAACCAATGAGGTTAATCTCTGTCTTCCCATTGTTTAATTCCAATTGTTTTTTTCACAAAAAACAAACATCACCACCATGCAAAGTTAAAAAACAATGTGAACAATGTATTTTATGGCATTTGCAGGCCCAAACCCTCTTTTTGGAGGACTAAAATCGACAGTTTCTATGTTTGGAAGATCAAGTCACACATGGATAGAAGGAGAAGGAATGCTTCATTCTTTAAATTTCAATAAAGATAGTGATGGTAGCTGGACTATCTCCTACAACAACAGGCATGTTCAAACAGAGACTTTGAAATTAGAAAAAGAAAGAAAGAAACCATCTTTTCTTCCTGCACTTGAAGGAGATTCCCCAGCAATTTTGTCAGCTTATCTGCTAAATTTGGTAAGAAGATTCTCACAACAATTCAATAGCCTTCACCTGATTGAATTACGGTGCCTCAACTTGGAGCAACTCATTTTCTGAAAACTAAGGAGGCCCATTTTTGCATATTTGATAAACAAATAGCTTAAACTATTAGGAATATAAGTATTAATATACGCGGAACTCATCCTTGTTAAACTAAAGCATTCTATCAACTGTCCAATTCAACTATGAATTATATGCGTTATACATTGAGCCATCAATAGCCTGGCATGGACAACCTTAAATGCTAGAAACAAGTAATTTGAACACATTATTTGGCCAAAATCCATTGTCTAAAAGCTTTGTGAAAGATTAAGTACACCATAACAGTAGTAATTTCATTACTCGACATAACTAATTGTTTGCAGTTGAGATTTGGCGATGTAAACAAACACATTAGCAATACGAATATTTTCGAGCATTCAGGGAAGTTTTACTCAATTGCTGAGAACCACGTGCCTCAAGAGATCGACATTTTCACGCTAGAAACTTTGGGTAATTGGGATGTTAGTGGAGCATGGAATCGACCATTCACTAGTCACCCAAAGGTACTGAAACCATACAAGAATAATAGAATTTTGTTTTGATGTCAAACAGATTACTTTACGCTCAAGTGACATTTTAAATGATACAGAAAGCTCCAGGAACTGGAGAGCTCGTTATGATGGGGTTTGATGCACAAAAACCTTACTTTGAGTTGGGAGTGATCTCTGGTATATACTTCAGTAGTTTAGCTCAAAATTAGCGTCTAGAACCACTTTTTAAATGTTGTTAATTTGTTACTATCTTAAAGTTCATTGTCCTTTTCCAGCTGATGGAAACAAATTAATTCATAGAGCTGATCTCAAATTTAGAAGGTGTAGCCTGTGCCATGATATTGGGGTTACACAGAGGTATTTAAGTACTAATCAACAAATTTTTTCGCAATTTGAAGTTTTCAAAGTTGATTATAATTTCAGTGTGGAATTAATGCAGATTTGGTCTGCAGGTACAATGTGATCATTGATTTTCCAGTGGTTATAGACATAAATCGACTCATTGGCGGAGGCCCGTAAGTGTGTATTCTGAACATTCAATTATAAATGGCTTCAGCAAACAAACAAATTATATAGAAAAGGCCTAAAAAAGTCGAGGAATACACTTTGGTTTTTTTATGGTAATTTTCGCTATATGTAGGCTGATGAAGTATGACAAGAAAGGATATGCCAGGATTGGAGTTATGCCTCGCTATGGTGATGCAGATTCCATCCAGTGGTTTGAAGTGGAACCAAGTAGTGTATTTCACCTTTTCAATTGTTTCGAGGATGGTGATGAGGTAATCAGTAAATATTGCATCCGTTTCCTTAAGCCCATGTCTTTGGTTAAATGAAAAGATAAATTTGAATTAAAACTGTGTTTGGATGAGAATGAGCAGGTAGTAATGTGGGCATTTAAAGCTCGTGGATCAGTTATACCGGGACCTGATCTAGGCTTGAACAAATATGAGTGGTTTTCTAGAGGTTATATGCATATGAACTCTGTTGAAGATAATGGTGACAATATGACTCAAGATGGAATTTTTTTTTCTCGTGCCCACGAGTGGAGATTAAACATGAAAACAACAGAGGTGAAGGAAAGGAATCTCACAGGAACAAAATTTTCTATGGAATTTCCTATGATCAATGAAAACTTCATCGGTAGCAAAAACAAATTTGGGTACGCCCAAGTTGTTGATTCAATTGCAAGTTCCTCTTCAGGTAAAAATGTTACCATTATGTATATGAGAGCTTAATCTCTGAGAATAATGGTTTTGTCAAATTTGTTAAATTGCAGGAAGGGCAAAATATGGAGGTCTAGCCAAGCTATACTTTGAAGAACCAGAGAATGGATTGTCTTGGGAATTAGTAGGCTCCACCACCTTCTTTTGTCCCTCCTGTCATTCATATAGCTTTGCATAGAACACCCTTTGCTATCTTTGATTTTGTGAAATAGGAAAACAAACAACACGAAGAGCTGATAAAGATTTTTATTTTTATTTCTTGAAGAACAAGCTGATAAAGGTTGAGTACCATAGCTTTCCGGAGAACACCTTCTGCTCAGGAGCCACTTTTGTTCCTAAAGTTGGAGGTCTTGAAGAAGACGATGGTTGGATAATTACATTTGTGCATAATGAAAACACGAACATGTCTCAGGCAAGTTATTTCACAACCATTAACCAGTGTTTATGTAGACTCCTATATTATTGCAGGGTTTTACAGATATGTTTAACTCTCTTCTTGCAGGTTTATATAGTCGACACAAAAAATATTTCAAGCGAGCCAGTTGCCAAAATTACTCTGCCTGGTAGAGTGCCATATGGTTTTCATGGAGCTTTCATGTCAGTAAGTTCACAACTTGAAGATTAGAAGATCTGCAACACAAATACTTATGCTAAATATATCCAAAACCAACAATTATCATGGTTTCAACTTGTAATAAGGTGTGACAGTTGATGAAATTGTATTCATTCACTGTTATTCCTTATCAAAAATTGTGTAGATCGATTTAAAAAGAAGTGGTTGTTTAAGTGATCCTCAGAACTGTCCAAAGGAGATAGCTAGCTTTTCTCCTTGCAAATGAGGGTGTTCATCGTACCAACGGGTAGGAATTACAGTATTTCATCTTCTTATTCGGTACGTTGCGAAATAAATTTTTCTTCGCTTATCCTGCCCGATCAAGTGTGTTATTTTTACTCAAATTTTGTCCAAAACAATCGGGTGAACACAATATTTTTTAATTATTAATTTTTGGATTATTTTAATAATTCAATTGAGTAACATGCACCAATTAACTAAGACAATAATGTTAAAAAGGTTAAAAATTTAACACATTAACAGTGTTTCTAGTTTGTGGTTTTTGCACACATTAATAGTGTTAAAATGTTAAAAATTTAACACACACATACACAAATATAAATATATATATATATGTGTGTGTGTGTGTGTGTGTGGATAGTGTCGGATCGAAAGACAGAATTTGTATGCGTATTCCGCATTTTTACCTGATTATTGCAGAATACCAAAATTTCTTTCGTTTGCCTATCCAATTTTTTGCGGTAGCCGATCAATAGTGTGGGTTTAGGTCAGGTAAGATCAGAATATTCGGATAATAAGAAATTTGAACACCCCTCCTTGCAAATAGATTTTTTTAAGCATTTTCATACTAAACAATTCCATGTAACATGGACAAACAACTGTAAGATCACAGATGCTATAATCCTTTCTCATTTCTAATGCATCCGAAGCTCTTAGCAAAGTCAAGAGACTACTAAGGCTCGATAAGATCGTACTCATGGAATACAATTAACTGTCAAGATGCCTTGGAAGGAGCAGGAGCTACCATTTATGTGGTTTTGACCAAAAGTAGGTTCTAGATTTGTTGTGGCTGCTTGGAAGTTTTAACTTATAAGCCGTTGCTATGAAGACAGCTCTAAGACCCTCTTCTCTCCTTGAGGCAAACACGCTCTGGATGTTTACTTGATCCGATTGAGACAAATGGCAATGAATTTTTTCAGACCTTCCTACTGTGGCAGTCACCTTATGACTGCTTAGCTCTGTTAACTTTGGTGAAAATGGCGCCTGTGGAAAAAAGAAGCACAAATCTATAAGAACCCTTACGTGTAAGTCGTATGCAAAGCTTGAAACTTATTTAATTTTCTAACTCGGAGTTTTTAGGAGTTATCTTCTAGATTTTGGATCTATATTTTCTACAACAACCAACTACAAAACTGCATATATTTCAGTATGGCAATGCAGGCCAAGTTCTATTGGAGGAGGAAAAAACATAAACATACAGACAGAGAGGGCCTGAGGGTAGGGCACTGGAAAGGATTCCTTGTTTCTCACTAGAAAAATTGTCCACTTCACTCCATTTTTGGATAGGTTTATGAAAGTGAAAGCCTGGCATTGTATTTACTATTGATTTTGTATAAAGCCAGACAGAGATGGAAAAGAATCCACCAAATCAGACAGTCAACTGGGGCCCCACTAAACATATAAATAAGGATAAGACTATGGTAAAAAAAAAAAAGCAGATCAGTACATGATACTGGTGCCACTGCGAGTCTGGGAAGAATGAGATGTCTGTGATTTGAACTCTTAATGCTTAATTCATAATAGAATAGTCTTATTGCTGCGCCAAAACTCGCCATCTAAGGATAAGACTATGGAATCTTAAACAATTTTTTGATACCATATCAAAAACTGATTTATAGTCATAGATCTTTGGCCGATTCATTCGTTGCGTTGATCATGAAAATAATAAAGTAAAATGATACATAAAATAAAGAAACTTTACACGAGTCACATTCTAATTGGTTGAAAAAAGACATCACTTATTGAAAAGTAATTTCTCGGTAGTATAGTTGGACCAAAATAAATAAATTGGTTGTACTACTTAACTAAAAAGTAAATCTTCGGTACTATTATGCGAAATCATTTTCAGGCATGAATTTTGAGTGAGTATACTCAAAAACCAAGCTCCAAGTTACTTTGGGTCATAAACAGAGGCATAGAGCCTGATGTCCGAGTTCTCACAGGGACAGAAGCGTATTTGGCTCTTTGTCTCTTTGTCTCTTTGTCTCGAGCAGTTTCTGTATCAGAAAACTCAAAAGATGCCATTGCCAATAAACTTAGTACTCCAATTAGGACAGACAAAGACAACCAAATACGAAACCACTTGATTATATATAAAAATTGCTATAAGCAAAGAATATGAGTAAACAAATCTTTTGGACAAGAGAGAGAGACCTATCACATATCAGCCTGCAATGTTCACATAAGGAGCAGTGATCATAGAGAAATCTAGACAACAGTTTGTGTTCCCATTTGCTCAATGAATCAAACGGGACTGTTCTTCATAGTTCTCTTCTTGCTGTCCACCCATGTCAAAGCTCAAAACTCGGCTAATCATCAACATGGTCTCAATCCTCTTCACCCGAGCATGGCAGTTGTTACCGTTGTCCTCGCAATTATGTTCTCAGTAACATTTTTTGTACTTGCTTTTGCCAAGTTCTGCCGCCCAAGTCTGGTTGATCACTTAACTCATGAGGAAAACCTCCATGGACTTCTCAGATCGAGATCAAGATCTTCAGGGATTGATAAAACAGTGATTGAATCACTCCCCTTTTTCAGATTTTCTTCCCTTAATGGCTCTAAGGAAGGCTTAGAATGTGTTGTTTGTTTATCAAAATTCGAGGATTCGGAAATCCTCCGGTTATTGCCCAAGTGCAGGCATGCATTCCATATGAATTGTATTGATGAGTGGCTAGAAGGCCACTCTACTTGTCCTCTTTGCAGGTACAAGTTTGATGTTGGGGACCTCACAAATTTCACTTACACTAACAGTTTGAGATACCCTCCAAACTCTTCTAATCCAGCAGAGGATCCAAATCTCGAACTTTTCGTTCGCAGAGAGCAAGATCATCATAGATCATCAAGGTTCAACCTTGGAAGCAGTTTTCGAAAATTGGGTAAGGCAAAGAAAGATGAGTTTTTGATCTTAGAAGGTGGCACCAAGGATGAAAATCGACAGCTCTTGCATAAGTTCAAACACAGGATCATAGTGTCTGATATCGTTTACAACAGCCGATGGAGTGATGTCAATTCCTCAGACTTAATGTCTTTAAATTCTGAGATGATCAGTGCTATTTCAAGCAGAAGATTCTCTCCACCCGGGTTTTCGACGAATGAACAAATTATGAAGATTAAGGATGACATAGAAAAGAAAAGATTGCACGAGTCTAAGGTTGGTAAAATTACTAGAAGCTATTCAGTTTCAAGTTCAACTTCAACCTTTTCTCCTACATTCAACATTGAAGAAAACAAGAAGGCAGCTTCAAGAACACTGAATCCAGCTGAGAAGCGATCGATGTCAGAAATTACAAATCTTTCAAGATTCCCAGAATCCAGTATTAGGAACAGGATCAGAGAATCTTTGTCGTTGGGAAACAATGGAAAGGATGAGAGGATAAGAAGGCTTTGGTTTCCAATAGCCAGGAGAACAGTTCAATGGTTTGTTGGTAGAGAGAGAAGAACAGAAGAATCAGAAAGAGAAAGGCAGCTATCAAATGTTTGAATTTGGTGAAAACTTCAAAATTGAAAGCTGATAAATTCTGAGAAACTTTTGTTCTTTGCTGTGATACAGCAGCTTATAAGTTTCATATAAGGTAGAGAGGAGATAATGTGTTGCTATTAAACGACCCGAGTAACTCGAGTTCAGTTTGATTTTGTCTCAATTGCAAAGTGCACCGAATTGGATGTGTAAGATTATTATGTAAATGATGTGAAATTTGAGAAATGTGTAACTTGGCTTGAATAGGCCTGGTTTGGTTTGAATAGGTTTATGTGTATGGCTTGAAAAATTTTCATACACATAAACCTATATGGAATATAAGGAATAAATTTTTTTGAATAGGTTTGTGTATAATCGAATTCTAAAATTTTCTTGGATATATTTGCCTAATCTCTCTCTCTCTCTATCACCAATTGCATCTAAATTTGGAATTCAATTATGATTTTTCATATTTCGATTTTATTTGATTTCCATTTAAGTACAATTTTCTGTTTTTTTTTTATTTTCCATATTTTTTTTTATTTTGTTATTAATCTTAAGTTCAAATTTTTATTTTGATTTCAATTTGGTTTGTGCATAGAGAGGAGCATATGGGATTGCAAAATAGGCGGTGGTCGTGGGTAAAAGTATATTTTTACCAGTGTTAATAATTAATTTTAGTCTAAAAGTATATGAAATTATGTGCATATTTTAAAATAATAAATGGGAGATATGCACAATAACTTAACCACAAAAGGGAAAAAAGAATTTTGTCATGCTTTTAAAATTTTTGTATATAGTATACGAATAAGTTAATTTAAAATTGAATAATTTTTTATTTGTATAATTATATAAACAAATATGACATATACGATTTCAAATAACACGACAAGAAACAGGAAAATGGCACAATACACACAAATTTGACACCCTAGAGGCAATCCATGGTATGTTGCCAAGCACAAAAAGCTAGTTTTCAAAGTCAAAATTTGCTGCTTAAAGATACACTAATGTTTCAAATATATATATATATATATATATAGACACACACTAAGTATTAAATGAAAGGAACATAAGGGATCATAAATGATTTTTTAGAATTTGCACAACATTTGTGTGCCCATTTCTTAGTGAATCTATTAAATGTGTTCCTCATTTTGAAGAGTCGAATTCAACGATGGAGTGTATAGGTTTTAATAGTCGCACCTCAACTATGGGACAAAATTGTAAGCATTAGATATTCAAAGAAGGGTATAATAGAACCTTTGAGTGACATTATTGTGGCTTCACCTAGAAAAAGAAAAGTCGTTGAGCATTAGATCAATACTAATGTTCCTTTCATGTGGTGAAAGATTTGTGTTTTTCTTGATTTGACAACAATAAGTACTTGGATGATTTTTTTAGTTCTTTGGTCAAATTTTAAATTTGTAGACTAATTAACAAATTTCGGCCTTGTCTAATACTTATAAACTAAAAAATTTTGTGAGTTTAACACACCATATAACAGTATTAAACGGTGCATATCACCGATAAAATATTGAATATTTTTAATGAATGATCGACACTTATCACTTTGTCAGAATTTTTTTAAAAAAAATTGACTTATTTGTCACACAAATCATTGACATTGTAGAAACTTCTTATTGGGTATAGATATTATATGACACTACACATAGTTTGTTAAACATATTCAAAATTTTCTCCCAATAAAGCGTCTAAACATGACTGCTAGAAGTTCACCAAGTAACGCCACTGAATAAAATGCATAAATCACAATCATGACCACTGTTCACACATTTATTTTAATTTTTTTTTTTTGAAAAGAAATGATGAGATAATCTTATTAATTTAAAAAGGATACATAATTTTGGAGACTAGTTAACAAGAAAGTAAGACATTTCTCCCTTCATATACTAAACTCTGAACAATTGGCGAGGCAATAGACACTCAAATTTCCATCCATATGAACCTATCTGCATCCCTGGTCCCTCTTCATCTAATACACATGATAACCATGATCAGAGCTTTCAACATCTGAATTACTACTACAATCACCACTGCCTTTTCTAATGGACCGCATCTCATCAACCCTACTGATACTGCTGTTAGGGCTTCCATTCTTATTCTTTTTCTCTCTCCTCCTCCTCCACTCCCTTTTCCTACACCAGTGCTTTGCCAGCAACACCCCCAAACCCAAACACACAGTCACTGTGCATCCTCCACCTACAACCACCAGCTCCACCGTCACCCACCTAGTCCCCTTCGTCTCCGGCATAATCGTCCATGTTGCCGCGATGTAAGCCGAGGCCATGAACAATGTAGACACCCACATGACCTTATGAGTCACCACCAACAGTTCCATCATGGACTTTCTCTTGAAGGGTATAATGCTGACAAGAACATTAACAATTCCAAGGGATAAAAACAGCGCCATTATGTTGCAGACCATGAAGACTTTAAAAGCAGTTTGCTTAGCCCTTTTGGCCTTTCCACTTTCTTGATCAAACCCACCAGGAGGGTTTATCCCAGCAGAAAATGTGACTGTTGCGATCAAAACTGCCACGACTGTTATGGTGTTTCGAGCATTTCTTAGGCCCTCGTTTTGGAGCTCGATCTGCTTTGATCTCCGGTGAGTCTGACGGCGATGGTGGCCGTGACGGGCCGGAGATTCTGAATTCTTCACCGGCCTTGTGACCGGTATGTTTCCAGAGTTGGGTTGGCTGATCTGTTGGATGTCTAGTGATCTAGGAGGCAATTGCTCACATCTCATTCCACCAGCGTCTTGTAATGCTGGAACAATGGCAAGAGCACCGGAGTTGCTAGCATCGGATTCGACTACATCTAGGGCTGTGTATCCCTTGCGGTTTAGGGCATTCACATCAACACCGAGCTTGATTAGGTAGGTGACCATCTGTTCCCAAGGCAAAAAGATCATCCAAGAAAGATTAGGTATTAGAATCTCATTTGAGGTTGGCAGAATTGCTAATATAACTTACTTCAACATGCTTTTACACGGGCTAGCAATGCCTCTAAGTACTTTCGTCTCAAAATTTGATCAATTCAAACTTGACTCATAATAATGAATGGTTGAGCTTGTACCGTGTACAGGAGTGTTTAGCTAAGTTTGATAGGTTTGACAAAAAACCCGGTTATGATCCAACCAACTAGACTTAATCCATATCTAGTAATTTTGTGTTTATTTCAAATCGGGTCGGTCGAGGATGTTGCTGTTGACTACTCTTCAGAAATAACTACTACCAACACCAAATATATAAAACACCTCTTTAAGAAACACCAAGATCATTAGTGTAGCTTGTCTTAAATCAATATTAGGAACTAAAAGCCTACCAGTAATTTATTCCAAATGTTGATAGGATGACCCCGAACATGGGATTGCAACAAAAGACATACAGGCAATTCCAAATATTGAGCTAAAGCCTTAAAAGAATTAGATCATTTTGTTTTTTCCCTTTCACATGTTCTACATACTAGCCCGATGCATTAGCAGTAGACTTCCCTTATATCTTCAATAATCACAATCCATTAAGTACTGAAATTAAATTCCCAAATTAAATCCTAACATCATTACTCTTAATTAAGTATTGTCATTCAACCAGCGGTCCAACAAATTATTGACCGTCATTCACAAGATTTATCAATAAGGTGTCACCCCGATTTTAGATATTTTTACTAGCAAACTCTAAATCCATCTGTCTTATAACAATACTACTTATTCTCACCCGTCAAGGTGGTTGTTTCTTTCCATCACCAAAAGTGATGATTTCATCCGAATTTCAACTTTAGCATTGAAAACTTATAAATTCATAGTTTTGTGTATAATAGATTATTCAATTTAACAGACAAATATGAGTAAAAATTCCAGCAATTTTAATTGAAGTAAAAACATTCTCAATTGTGAAAGATTAGAAAGATCTTACAGTCGTGAGTTTTCCAGCAGTTGCAATGTGCAAGATAGTATTGCCATCGTTGTCTGGCATGTTCATGATCTTCGTGACGTTAAGCGTCTCCGTTAGGTACTTCACTGCATCAAACTGATTGTGTTTCACAGCCATATGAAGAACAGTTTCTCCACTATTCGTTATCATCTCTGCAGATTCAAGGCTCACAGAGAGTATCTCGTCGATGATGTTGACTCGCCCTTTAATGGCTGCGCAATGGAGGGGTGTCTTTCCTCCATCGTCTTGTAAGGAAGAGAGGTCAGTGTCCAACCTCAGAAGCTCCCTCGTTATCTCCAGGTGACCTTTGCTGCATGCTAGGTGCAATGGTGTGTGTCCATGTGAGTTCTTTTTCCATGCAAAATCTGGTCGTGCCTTCACAATTTCCTTCACTATCTCTGTCACAAACAAGGGATTAAGCTGTTAAAGGCCAAACTAAAATAATGGAAGCGTGATAGAATGTTATTATCTCGTTAATTTAAAGCTTATTCAATAATTTCCTTCACTATTTCATGGAAAAGAAAGAAAATTTTAGATGTTCCATCATGTGCCTAGAAAATAAGGTGTTCCACGTCATTCTCTTGTAATTCAATTTTTATTAAGTTTTCCTAATTATAGAATTATGCATGGAATAATATTAAATCATTGAATAAAGATAGATGAGTGGAGACAAAGGAAGTCCGACCCATCAACTACGGTAACGTGGTAGAATATTAGAGGTTAATCAGAAACCTAACCAAATTATTTATTTTTGAAACTCGACTTGCAAGGAGATAGTATTTCAAGTGTCTACAATGGGCCGAATCGGGTTGAATTAGTCGTCCACCAGTCAAAACTATCGTAGAAAAAGAGCTGCCCACGACGTGCTCATCAGCCTGGCCTGGCCTTGATGGACCAAAAAGTGGGTTACCCATGAACAATAAATATGGGCCTTTTGACAGGTTATAATAGGATTTTTTATTTTATTATTTCATTAATTAATTATTTTGATAAAATTCTGTTAATATCACTAATTGATGTACTAAATGAAAATTTGATGTTATCCAATTTATCAGTATTACTAGTTGTGCTCAATTTACTAAAAATAAAAAATAAAAATTCGGTACCGTACAACTATGTACAAATTTTGTGTTCTCCTGTACAAAATTTGAGGGACATTTATAATTTTTTGAGAGTTATTTATAACTTTGCAGGTCATTTATAAATTTTGAGAATCATTTACAAGTTTTAGGGTTTACCTTGGGATCGTTTCTAAAATTATTAAATCGATTCAAGTTAACTTTAAAAGTTATAAATGACTCCTAAATCATTGAAGTTGTAACAAGACTTAAATGTCATAATTTTTTTTTTTTGTTGATAAACACACCTAAAAACTTATAGGAAGAACTATACCCAGACTCTCTGAAATTTGTCACTTAATCACTTAGGCTCCCTTATATTTAAAATATTATACACAGACCCCCTATAGTTTGTACGCGCATAACACTTAGACCCTGCCGTCAATATCTGTTAGTATATCTATTAGTAAATTACACTCAGACCCCTTAAAATTTGTAGGCGTATAATAGTTAGACTCCTCAAGTTTAAAATATTATACTTAGATCAAAAATACTTCAATGAAAGATAGAATATCAAATATTTTAAAGTTTACAATCAAAATATATATTCTATTATGACATTTATTGAAATAAAATCAAAAATAAAAATTTAAGTTTTTCTTAGAAAATCATAATTAGTATACAATTGTATTATCTATTAGAAATTTAGAATTTTAAACTACCAAACTATCTCAATTAAAACTAGACGATATTGTGGTCATTACAGTTTAATTCATTTATTTATTTATTTTAGTTTTATTCTAATAGATAGTATAATTGTATACTAATTATGATTTTCTAAGAAAAAATTAGATTTTTAATATTAATTTTATTTCAATAAATGACATAATAGAACATGAATTTTGGTTGTAAAATTCATATTCTATTATGAATGATTTAGTCTCCTTGTTTGATTTTTAGTTTTATTCCAACAGATAGTATAATTGTATACTAAAGTACGATTTTTTTAAAAAAATTTTATTTTTATTTTTGATTTTATTTTAATAAATGAGACAATAGAATATGAATTTTAGTTGTAAAATTTATAATATTTAATAATTTATCTTTGATTAGAGTATTTTTTATCTAATTATAATATTTTAAACTTGAAAAATCTAAGTATTATATACCTATAAATTTCAGGGGATCTAGGTATAATTTATTAACGAATATTGACGATAACGGTTTAAGTGTTACGCGTGTACAGATCTTAAAAAATCTGTGTGTAATATTTTAAATATTAAAAGGTCTGAATGATTAAGTAACACCTCAAAAGATTTAGACGTAATTCTTCCAACGCTATATTTTAATCTACAAAACTTGACGGTACGAAAACAAATTTGTTAGGTTTGTGGTTTATTAAAGTCAACCAGTAAGTCGTCGACCTGGACTACTATAGAGTTGCCCTTGGGACATGGTAGTCCATATTGACAGCTATAGACTTCCTACACCGACACAATAAGAACCACAAGAAGAAGAGAGATGATAAAGGCATTAAAATTAACATGTGAGAGTCCTAGTCACATTTTGATTCATTGAAAGGTGATTCATTGAGAGTCCTAGTCACATTTTTTTTTTTTTTTTTTTTTTGAGTAAGTGCTTTGGTGTGTGATCAAAAAGAGGTGATACTAAGGTTCCGTTTAATAACAGTTTAGTTTTTATTTTTTTTCTGATCCACTTACATGGTATTTGTCTAAATTCCATAACCTTGTGATTAAAGTGTAAAAATTCAGCTGTAAACACCGATTTGTGTAACATGTGTTAAACACTGTCTTATTCTTCTTCTTCAAAACAAGACAATAATTACATATGAAGTGCTTTTTGGTCGAAACCAAAAAGCGCAAGATTGCAAAACAATTAAGAAGCATAACGTGAGTTGTACAAACTATGCAACTTTTGTGAGCCTAAGGTAATCCTAAAATTTTGTACAACGGATCTAAAATCGAGTTTTGTGTTCACTAACAGAAAGATGTGAGGTTTTTTTAGAGTCGTACGTTTAACGTAAATTTGAGAGATGTGCAACTACTTAACTAATACTCTCAACTCTTCCAAAATTCAAATTTAAGAGTTTTTGAGTTATTGACTATAAAACCACTTTCATTCGAGCTACCCTATGTTTATTTTGGCATTGTTTCAAGGTTTTTGAAAAATGAAACATTTCTCAAGTTGTTATGAATCTCTATATCTATCACTATCATGCAAGGAGTTAAATTTTGTTTCACAAATGACAAAACATTAAAAAAAAATTGAAAATTAAATCAACTCAGTAATTGAATATTGAAATTTTTATGTTTCAAAGTGTTTTTCCTATATTGTTAAAATATTTTTGAAGCATTTCTGTTTTCAAACTAACGGATCGGTACACCGGTAGAAATTTTGATTTACCTGTATGGCCTGCAGTAGCTGCAACATGGAGTGAAGTAGTGGCCAAATCCATTTCCATCGTAAGCAGCCATTGAAACCTCAAAAGCTCCTTCACCACTTCAAGCCTCCCTCTCTCACAAGCCACAAAGAGCACACTCTCATCCCTACGATTCACTTTGTAAGCAACCCAAGGGTTTGTCTCCAGCAACATGTTCATTATCGTCACTTGCCCTTCTCTGCATGCCTCATGCAACGGTGTCTCCAACTCTCCGTCCGCAGCCGACACCATTTCCGGCCATAATTTCACGATCTCCGACGCCAATTCTCTGTGCCCAAACCGAGCAGCTAAGTGGAGGATGGTGTTTGATTTTCCGGGGACTGTTTGGTTGATCAGATTTTCGTCGTCGGCGATGAGTTTTTGGAAGGCGGCGACGTCGCCCTTAAGGACTGCCTCGTGAAGGCGGCGGTCCATGGTTCAGACTGTGCGTTTTGGGCGTACAGAACTACGGTGGTGGGTGATGGAAAAGTATCTTTTGAGAGAGGGTTTGATCATTGGTGGGATAAAAATATGGAAGAAGATGCAAATTTTCCACCAGTGCAGCAACAGGGAAAGTTCGTTCCCTTTTCCCTCTCTTTTTCGTTAGGAGTGACAATTATCCACCCAAAATCCGATATAATTCTATAAAATTCATTGGTTTAAGTTTAGTATTGCATAGGTCCGATGGTTAAATTATTGTTTAATATGATATCAATAAAAAAAATCTTATGTTTTAATCTCAGCGTCACACTAATTATTAAAAAAAACAAATTACGTGCTGACAGACTGCTTCTAAAAACGTGACCATAGAGGACTTATTTGCAGCCTTTTTTTTTGGTTTCACATGTAGGAAAGTTGTGCGTGGAGATTCATCAAAATTGTTGAGAGTTTTCTAAGGAGTTTCAATAGGGAAAAAAGGACGATTCCGTTGGAAATATTGGGTGGTTGTCGGTAGATAAGGAGGACTTCATTTAAAAAGGTTATTTGTGTCAAGGTGGTGGATCATCCCGATTAGAACTGACAAAAAGTTCGTCGTTTGGATAATATTGGTACGAGTAATGCTATTTAGATCTAAAAATTTAATTTAATTTATTGATATAATGATGTGATTTAATAGGAATTATTATATCAACACCAAATTTCAATGTTTGATAAATTTACAGTCAATTTAAAAATCACAGTGAATTAGATCAATAAATTAAGTTAAATTTTTAAGTCTCAATAACATTGCTCTTACTAGTATATGTTGGAAATTACTTGGCTAGTTTCTATACGAAAATTAAAGTTGTACAAGTAACCCGCACGGGTTTGTTTATTTGTCAAACAAAAATTCCAATGTTTTGTTTCGTATAATAAAAAAATAAATGGATAAAAAATTAGAGAGAGATTAATTAAACATCATATTTCGTAAAGAATAAAAATATGAATGATGAAAAAATTGATGGATTAACTTTCCTTTCAACTTGTCAAAATCAATCTATTTAAAATTGGGAGAAAAAACGGATGTAATGCTAATTATGTATGTTAAAATATATGTTATATGTCTATACATTCTTTGATATATACATATATCATATTTATCAATTATATATTATGTATACATTAATTTCAAATATAGATATTATGATAAAATATGTATTCATATTTTTCTGTTAAAAAATATAAAATACAAAAAAATAAAAAATACTTTTTTCATCTTATCAAATACAAAAAAAAAAAAAAAAATCATTTTTTCCACTTTTCATCCTTTTTACGAAACACAAAAGAGAAAAAAAAGGATTCCATCCTTGAAGGATGAACAATATTTCACTCCCACTTTTTATCTTTCTATTTTTCTATTCACCCTACCAAACAGACTATAAGTTTGTGTGATTTGAGCTTTATTTTGTAGTAATGAATTTAAAAAATATATGATTGGAACGATCTACCCTATTAATAATAAATACTTTTTTCCAAATAATTTTTTTGTATATCATCCTTAAAAATAATCAGAATTGATTTGAGAAAATTAGCAATAATTCATGTCTAAAGTTACTGCATAATACTAAAAAATGTGTTTTGATAGTATAACTATTGTATTTGAAATAGTACTTTTTTTTCTTCTTGTTATTTAATTATATAATTTAAAATACAAGTAAATAGAGAGAAAATAAGAGAATAGACAGCCCAAGACATTTTGGGGCCAAAGCGAAAATGATAAATGATGTCATTTATTTTTAGTATCAAAAATAAATTTAATTTTTAGTTTTTAAAATTTAAAATATTAATTAATTTTTTTTATTCAAGTTTTTTTTACCATATTTAAACTTGATGATAAGAAAGAGAGAGAAAATAATTAAAAAATTATGTTGATAAATTTGAACTTGACTTTTTTTTTTTGGAGGTTAAGACTTGATTTTTCTGTAACTTTAATTTTACTGTTTGCTTCTTTTTTTGTTTGGGCCTTTTAGTTTAATGAGATGAATTAATAGGCACAATCTATCCAAATTAAAATTGTTTGAGCTTAAATCAAAATTGTTTATGGGGCCTATTTCTTAGAGGATTAAGATTTTTTATTTGGACTATTACTACAGCCTGTAAATTATGGAGTATTACTTAAAATGGAACTTAAAACCCATTCTATTGGTTTAATGATTGGGCTGATTCTGAATAAGAGAGAGATAAGTGTAGATTAATACAATTGTTTGATATTATCAAGTGTGCTGATTGACTTGTTAGTCATTGACAATCGTGCAAAAAACTAATGGTTTGAGCGGAAAAAAATTTTATATTATTGGATCTATATAAATAAAAATTAAATAAATTTTAATTATTATTATATTTTTATAAATTGAGAATTCAACTCTGTAACTATAATATTATATGGATGTTCCATTGAAAAAGATATGAGATTAAGGGTTTAAATTCCCTTCCTCCCTCCTCTATCCCCCAAAAAAAGAAAAAAGCTCACTCTAAAAAGTTTTCATTGGCTTTCTATGTGTTCTTCTAGATACATCTTATTGATAAATATATGGTTACTCATTTTGGCACAAAACAAATATTCATTTTTGTCTGGATAAATTATAATTATTGATTAAAAAATAGTAAAATATTAATTTTTTTAGTATATGAAAAGTATAAATATAACATCAAAAGTATATTTCGATATTATAATAAAACTTAATTGTTACACATAACATACGAAAAAAATAAGAAAATAATGTTATAAGGATTTAATTTGAAGATTTAATCAATAATGTAATGTATGTACGATTATTGAATTAGTTGTGAGATTTAATATTAGAGAAAATTCAGTTTAAATTCAACCCATGCTATTGATTATATTTTTATATTGACTATTTTTCAAAATAAATAAAAATAACGTTTTTCAAAAATAAAATATCCTATGAAAACGATGGCATTGCAAGAAAGATATAATGTATGTTGTCATCAATGACGCTTATGTCTGCTGGATGACAACTCATAACAAATGTGACTTTTCAGGAAACTAGAAAAATAAAAAAGGGTTGACGAGGTGCTGACTGCATAATTTAAAGCTCGTTCTAAATTTAACTATAATTCATAGAATGATTAGACCTTTATTATATGATTATCTTGTCTTTTCTTAAGTTAAATTATTATTATAAACACCCTTTTTTCAACACTTTTTCCTTTAGAAGAAGGGTATATTAGAATGTTTCAAATTAGAATAATTCTATGGCAACAATTTTTTTTTATATCGTATAAAAAATTATTTTTTTTTTTAAGTTGATCTCAATAAATAATAATTTTATCTTTTGAAGTTATAGAGAACCATTTGGAGTTAATAATATTGGGTTTTGTTAAACTCAAAATCTTGGCAATTCTTTAGGATCAAAATATAATAAATTTATCTCTCTTGAATATTTTAATCTCGATATAAATTGTTTGTCTTTGATTGGACCAGGGAGAAGATTAATAAAAGTGAGTGTAAATTGATATGAACACTCTTGATCGTTGAACCAAAAAAAAAAACTCAGAAACTCGGTAAGAGTTGGCTCTTGCTTCTAATATGATTGATCTGGGTGGTGAGGGTTCGATTAAAGTGAGAGGGGGCTGTGGTGTCATTTCCCTCCATTAAGCAGTTAATTAGAAGTTAATTAAAGTTTACAATTAATGAAATATATTGTTCTATCTTTGCATAAACTTTTTTGGCCATTTAAAACTTAAGATACAAAAATGCACACCCTTTTAACTTCCCAATTACAACACAAGAAAACTTCTCAAACCCCCCACCCCCGAAAATGACTTTTTTTTTTTTATTATAGGGTGTTCAGATTTACGTTGATTATTCTCTCGAACTTTGAACTGATTACGGCGTAATTTAATAACATGTCACTTGAAGTATAAAGTATAGAGTAATGTTAGATGGACTTAAAAAATAGACTTGATAATCTCAACCATTGAATAGGTAGTGGATCCCAATAAATGCTAGGATCCACAATAAAATCAATGGTTAAGATTATCAATTCTAATTTTTAAGTCTATATCGCACTGCTCTAAAGTATATAGTTAATCCTTAAAATTTCTTACTTATAAGAAGACAAGTTTAACTGCTGGGCTACCTTAAGAGTCACCCCTATGACTGTCTCTCACGTTTTTTCCAACCGTCTATCTTTTACCTTTTTCTATTTACACATGAGTATTGTGTACGTGTGACCCTAGTATATGTTATTCGTTTGACTATTAACATCAGACTATCCTATCAAATCCACTTCCTTATTGTTGGGTGTAGTAATGACGCTGTTCACTTGAGCCTTGGATCTGTATCCAGCGCCAAAGTAGGTTAAATCTCACCTCCTAAATTTTAAGACTAAATCGAGGGTTCAAATAGGCAAACTAGTTCAAAAATTGATGAATTTACCATTATACCCTCCAGGTGGCAAAGGATACAACCACATGTTCTAGAAAGAAATAATTGGGGGTCCACTTGCTTTGTCATTTTCAAGCATACCGAAATGGTGGGCCGACATGATAGTGATTTTACATACCGAAAAAGAAAACATGGTAGCGATTTAATTCTTGAAAGTGTTGCATTAATTTTTTGAGGTTAATTTTGGTAATTCAAAGGTAACAATTTCTTAATTATTTATTCATCATATCAAATAAAAGTATAAAAAATTCACACCTATTAGTTTTTCTCCCTTCGTATCAAGCAAAAAAGAAAAAAAAATAACTTTCTTTTATCTTCATAAATTTTCATCCCTTGGTTGTCCTATCTTTCTTTTCAAAAAAACAATTTAAAATTAAAATTAGGGTTAATCCCAATGCATAGGAGTACAAGGGTCTCTCATGACTTAAATTTTGATAGAAAGCAATTGGAACCTAAAAAACCTATACGAAACCAAAATTGAGGTTCTAAATAACTTAGGTTTGAATACTTTCTTTCTTGGCATACTAAATTAAAAAAACATGTA